CACCCTCCCATCTTCGTGTCTGCACCGACATCCAGCACGCCCACCGCCACTCCAACAATCGACATCAAGCCTCCCCTTTCTGCGCGAGACGACGCGGATGACGCAGACGGGACTGGATCCCTCTCGCTCGCTTCGAATGGCAAACCTCCGCCCGGATACCTCGGCTCGCTCTCTGGCGCCGCACTCTTACAATTCCTCCAGCGCTGCGCGGCAGACGTGAACCTCTCCGCAGCTGGAGCAGCCGGGAAATGCGCGACCTCGCCCTCCTCCTCGACAACCAACTCGCTCACAGCCATCTTGCCGGACCAACTAGCGGGCTACATCGCCTGCTACTTCAACCACTTCCACCTCCTCTACCCCATCCTGCACGAGTCGTCTTTCCGCGCGCAGCTGGCCGAAATCGTCCCTCGACCCGGCGGAGCGGCATGGACGCTTCTCTACTACGTCGTCCTCGGTCTGGGCAGCATGTGTACCTTGAACGACACGAGCGAGGGCGAGACTTTGACGCTCTACGAACAAGCCATCTCGCACGTCGCAGCCGCGCTCTTCGAATCGGCCAGTATCACCTCGGTTCAAGCGTTTTGCCTCCTCGCCAACCTCGCACAAAAGACGAACCACGTCTCGATCGGTACGGTCTTCCTCGGTATCGCGCTGCGGATGGCCATCAACCTCGGCTTGCATACGGAGGCGTCCGGGAGGCATCTCTCGGTGTTTGAGCAGGAGATGAGGAGGAGGGCGTGGTGGTTGCTTTTCGCGTTCGACTCGGGGTCGCAGTTGACGTTCGGGCATCCGAATACGCTGCCTACGACGGGCGTGGACGTACTACCGCTCGTCAGCGTGCCCGATACGGTGCGTCCGCCTGATCCTCCATCGTTCCGTCATAAGCTGACGTCGGTCGTTCGCAGGTCTTCACGCCCTCTCTCACGACACGCCCACAATCCTTCCCCTGCCCAACCATCTACTCCTCCCTCATCTTCCAATGCTTCTTCCACCAAATGGCGAGTCAAATCGTCGCACGCCTCACATACTACCCCAACCTACCCATCACCGAGTCGCTCATCCTCTACCACGAAGTCGACTCGCTCCAGTCCGCCCTTCCCTCATTCTTCTTCTCCTCCCCTCCCGCATGGTTCGATTTCCCCCGCCACCTCCTCGCGTGGAGGTTGGATAACCTCCGCATGGTCGTGTTGAGGCATACGTTTCTCAAGGTCTCGTTGATGCAGGGACCGGTGACCGAGGAGGAGGAGCGAGGGTGGGCCAAGTGCGTCGATTGTGCGGCCGAGGTCGTGCGCTCCGTGCAGCGCTTCTCGTCCGAGGCGCAGAGGACCTGTATGGAGTGGTGGTATGCGCTGTGGGTCCGCTTCCTTTCCTTTTCGGCGGCGCTCCAGGCTGACGGTTTAGTGCTCGAGCAGACACTTCATCATCCCCTCGACATTCATCCCGCTCATCGCCCTCCGCGTCCGCCCCGCCTCGCCCTCCGTAATCGAATGGGTCGACGTCGTCCAATCCGCCCGTGCAGTCCTCAAACGCGTCCCTCACGCCCTCCTCAAATCTACCGCAACCCGCTGCCTCGCCATCATTTCAGCCGTCGCGGACCTCTCGATCGCGCGCAACGACTCCCGCCCCTCCGCCACGAACGAACCGTCGACCGTGCCGGATAGCGACTTTACGAACTTCCTCGAGATGCTGGCGGGCCAAGGACCCGGGTTTGAGGGCGAGACGGCGTCGCCGGTTCAGGCGCCCGGGTTGCTGCCAGACCTCGATACCCTCCTGCAGTGGTTCACCCCGTCCGGGTCGCCGTTGCCTGTTGTGTAATCGCTCAAGCAGTGTTGGCGCTTCCAGCGGTCTCGAGAGCAAGCTTGGGAGCGACCTTCCTAAACTGCTTGCCACCCTTGCGAACGTCTCTCCTGAGCGCTGGAGGAACAGTACAGGTGCAAGGTAAGCGATCGACGGGAGGAAACTGGTGAGGAGGAGGAACGATACGGCGCGAGAGAATGAGACACGCTGAGGAGTAGGGGGATCAGATGCCGTAGATGGCGCGCTGGCGGTGCGAGTAGTTGTGCAGGAGCGAGTGGGCGAGCGAGTTGGCGCTCGAACTGGCATGGGGGTGCTGCTCCCAGCCGTCAGGCATGTACTCCGATTCGAGCGGTTTCTGCACCGGAGGGAACTCAGCACCTGACATTCAGGACAGGTGCGTAAACTCACGCCTTCGTGAAGAAGCCTAGCGCACTTGGCGATGTTCGGAGTTTTGAAGGACGGGTTTGTCGAGGATTCGCCCGGTACATGTTGAGTCCGAGTTGCGGCAAGCGTGCGGCCTTGCTCTGCGGCGCGCCGTCGGTCATATGAGACGCGACCGGAGAGATTGTTCTTGCGGCGCTGTCGCCATTTCTTCAAGTCCTCCTTGAAATCCTGCACGACAGGTAAGATCAGAACGAGGACAGCCCCAGGAACACAAGTATATGTGCGCCAACGCACCTCATTCTCCGTTTCGCTCGCGGACGCGTTCGGCTCGAGTTTGAACGGAAGAGACTGGCTGGCGGGTGTAAGCGGCGGCGGCTGTGCAAGCGAGAAGGCTTCAGCACCCAACTTTGTGCAGCGTGATGGATGATGACCTGCCAAATCGTCCACCCCGTGAATCTTCAATTTGTGCCTTTCGGGATGCTCCTCCAGGTTGATACTGGCTCCCTGGATGCACTCATCCAGAAGCTCGAACATCTCCTTCCTCTCCTCCGGCGAGTAGAAGAACCTCGCCGTAGAGGCCGAGACGGTCCTGCCCTTGATGAGCCCTTGCAAGCACCACCAGTGCCACCACGCCGCGAACCAGTCCTGATAATCGTGCTTGTCGTCGAGGGCGATGTACAGCTCGACGAACTTGCGGAGGAAAGCGTCGAGAGTCGGCAGATCGTCCTTGATCGTGAGGAACCAGGAGCGAGCCATGGCGCCGAAGTCAGGGTGAGGATGACGCGGAAAGAAGCGAGGAGAAAGCTGAGCTGACGGCGAAAGAGACCAGAGGCGAGTCCGGATAAGTTAGTCCGCGGAGGGCCCCAAACCCCCGAAGCGAGGCCCACGCCAACCTCCGATGAGCCCGCTTCGTGGCGCGAACAACACGTTTGCACACGCGAGCCTGAACGTCTACTCCGTCTCCTTGAGGATAGCAAGCAGCCTCGCCTTCTCGGCGCCGAGCTGCTCGGCCTTCTCCTCCCCGGTGCGCATCTTGGCCAAGAGCTGGCCGACGCGCACCTCGATCTCCTTCGGGACGACACTGCCGCCGCCGAACGCCCAGCGACCCTTGTCGCTCGTGAAGAGACGGGAAAGCTCGACCAGCTCAGCCTGCGCGCTCGAGATGTCGGCGTTCGCAGCCTTGATGGCGGCGGATACGGCGCGGAAGTCGACAGCCGCTTTGAGCGCCGTGTCCTGCAGCAATCGCTCGCATGCGGCGCGATAGACGGGCTTGCCGGGTCGAATAACGGACGGTCGGCCATTGAGGTGACCGACGGAGATGAGGGCGGCGGATTCGAGGGCGCGGAGAGGGGTGTCGTCGCCGCCAAAGAGAGTGAGGAGCGTCTCGTTGTATTTGAGCTGTAGACGCGAGGACGTGAGCCACCAACGACAGCCAGGAGAGAGGATTCCGGCGCACCTCGCCCTTCTCGCTCAAGCCCTTGACGAGTGCGAGCGCCTGATCCCGCGTCCACTTAAAGCCCTTCGCCTCGTCCTCGTCGTCGCCGAAGAGATTCTTCCTGATCTCAGAAGCGTTGCGCTGCACGAGGTCCTCGACCGCCTCGTCGACGGTCTGGCCGGCGCGGATCTTCTGCACGAGCAGCTCGAGGTCCGTCTGTCGACCGCCGAGACGAGCCACTGAAGGGAAGGCTTCGGCGGGAAGAGTCTGATCGAACGAGGCGAGCTTGGCCGAGACGTACTGAAGCGAAGCTTCGGGCGACGCGTCGGTCAGGCTGATCATGTTGAAAGGCTTCGAGGGAAGGGCGCGAGCGAGCGGTTTGGCCAGGGTGACCGAGTCGGATGTGAAGATGACGTGCGCAATCTGAGTTGAGCCTTATCAGCAGCTTGCTCTACGCAGTCGGACCGCGTTAATAGACGCACCTGGTTCTCGACCAAGACCGCAGCCCACTCGCTTAAGACATCCCAAAGCACCTCCTGCTTCGCCTCGCCCTTCGCCGCGAAACCCTTGATGACCACGACAGGCAGCCGCTCGACTGCCGGACTAGCATTCGCAGCCGAGTCTTCGCCCGATGCTGCGTTCTCTGCTATGGCACTCGCCCTCGCGGCCTCTCGCACCACCTTGCTGCTCGTTGGCCCGACGATCTCGACCTTCACGTCGGGCCCAACTTCCTTCTCCACTCCCGCAGCCGGTCCTTCGATGCCTCCACCGAGCTCCGCCACGACGCCGTTCCCCGCGACGGCGTCAAGTCGGCCGTCACGAACGCCTTCGGTACGCAGCTGAGTTGCAACAGCCTCGCGCCGCGCAACAACCTCCTTCTGTGACGTATTCGCGGCCAAGGCTGCCGCTGAGCGTGCGCGAGTCGCAGCCGCAATGGACGAAAGCGCCGTCGCCGTGACTTCAAGAATCGATTTGAGCTGCTGGTCGAGTGAGGCGGTGAAACCTGCCTTCTGGCCGATCAAGCCCATAGACGCGAGGTCGATCATGTTTGAGATGGAGCTCGCGAGCACGAACTGAGGCCAGTATCCGACGGTCGAGGCGAGTTCCTGTAGGAAGAGGGGTTCAGCACGGTGGTGTATGCGCGGAGAGCGCTTGAACATACCGAGACGAGCTTGGTGTCGGAGCGACCGGCCTTGATCAACTGGTTGCAGTCGATCGTGAGGACGTTCCTATGCCGGACGGGTCAGCTCGTGCGAGGCTTGACGTGGACGAGCGCCACTCACTTGCCGTCGCCGAGCACCTCCTCGACAAGCGCCGTCTTGCCCGAGCCTTGCGGACCGGTGACGATGATAAACGTGTCGGGAACGTCGTTGACCCAGTTCGTGAGCTGCTCCTTCGCCGTTTCCCGCTCCTTCTCAATGCCCGTTCCCGTGTCCTTTGCATCGAGTCCCCTGATTCCCGCCAACCCAAGTCGACCGATCGTCTCCTTCTTGAGCCACCGCACGAAGCGCCACTGGTTTGCGTCGAAGGTTCCCTCGACGTGTGCGCGGACGGAGACTTCGCGAATGGGGTCGAAGACGAGGTAGGAGATTGAGCCGATCAGGGCGACGAGGAGGGGGATGGTGATACGAGGGTGCGAAGACATGAAGTCCCAGATGTAGTTCGTCCGCTGCTTCTCGGCGTAAAGGATGCGCATGACGGTCAGGGGAGGGGGCGTTCCGGGAGGCGAGGGCGGAGCAGGGATGGTGGACGTGACGGCGGCGGCGTGGAGACAGTTGCGAGCGGCAGAGGCGGAGCGGATCGAGGTGTAGATGATGCGGGCGGACTTGGGCGAGGGGATGATGTCGTGAATCTTGCCGTAGGGACGGAAGATCTGGTACAACTCTTCTTGCGGAATCTGCGGGAGAGGCGCATGAGCGCAAGTCGCGTATGTGCAAAGGGATCGTGACTCACCTCGTTCCCCTCGTACTCAACGCGGATCTCGCGCGACGGGAAGCGGTTCATGTCCTCCATCCAAGGCCTGCCTCGCACTAAGAACGCCCGACACGGCCGGCCAAGACTGAACCAGGGACGGAAGCCGCTCTTCTGCAACGCATCCCGCGCCTCGTTCTCGATCAAGGCGGCGACCTTCTCCTCAGCTTCCTTCGCCCTCGTCTTCTTCACTGCCTCGTCGACCGGCTCACCGTCCTCGGACGCCTCCATCTCTGCCTCGATCTCCTTGCGAATTCGCTCCGGCACCGTGAAGCTGAACCTGACGAACGCCCCGCCGTCCTTTGCCCTCGGGTCAACGCCCTCAATACTGACGTCAAACTCTGGATCCTTCGGCACGAGCTCGCGGACCTTGGCGAGCAAGTCCTCCTGCTGAAGCTTCGAGACGAGGAAGCGGACGTCCCAGATCGCAAAGCGGATAGGGAAGAGCATGTCGTAGTAGAGCACGCCGACCTTTCTCGACTCGTGCGGGTGCTGCGGCGCTGTCGCTGGCGGGATGTACGGGATCGGGGAGGGTTGCAACGGAGGCGGAGTGAAGGGGGCGGTCAGCGTCGAAGAGGTGCGCCATGCCGCGAGCGACACTGGCGAGCATGGCAGACGTCTCCGCGCAGGCTGGCGAGCTATCTGGCGCAGTGCAAGCATGTTGGCGGAGGAAAAGCAAGATGACGAAGGAGCGGGACGAGTTGTGGGGTGTGGACTTCCCCCTACTCGACGACTTTCCTTCTCTCGTTCATGCATCGAAATGTAACGCAAGAGCGTGACAAGAGACACCGCACTACACCCCGACTCGTCCAGCGAGAGCGGGCCGCTCCTCCCAAAGCAACTTGACCTTCCTCTCGAGCACCCTCGCACGCTCCTTCTCCGCCCACAGCTGGTTCCGCGGGTCCCGCCTGACAGGGTGCCACGCCTTCTTGCCGTCGGCGCCGAGAGGAGCGACATGCGAGACGTCGACGAGGCGGGGCGTCGCCGAGACGAGGCGGGCTTCGCGGAGGAGCTGCTTCGACCGAATCGAGAACGACTGGGCGAGCGATTTCGGGTCGGGCGGCAAGCGGAACGAGTCGTCGGAAGGCTCGTGGGGCTCGGGCGTAAGAGGCGGAGTCGGCGGGAGCTCGTAGGAAGGCAGTTTGTCGAGGTCGCCCAGGAGGTCCTGCGACTTGAGGTAGGCGTTCTCGCCGCGCAAGAAGCGGATAGCCGACCGCAGCGACGTGATCTGCTCGACGAGGTAAGACGTCTCCATGTTGCCCTCGTACGCGGTCGAGTCGAGGCCGTGGCCGGAGGACGTTCCTGCGAGACGCTTTCGTCAGCTCAGCTCGCGCGCTTCGGTCCATCGGCAACGCACCCTGCTTCTCCGTCACGGCGGCACTTTGTTTGAGCTTATCGAGCTCCTGATCCATCTTGTCGAGATCGCGCTGCAACACTTCGTTAGCCTCCTCGTACGTCCGCTCCTGCTTGCGGCTCTTGGCGAGTTCGCCTTCAAGCTGCGCCATCGCCTCCGCCTGCTTCTTGACGCCTTCGAGTCGCTTCTCCATAAGCTCGATCTTGACGAGGCTCTCCTGGTACTCTTGTTCCTGCAGAGTCATGGCGGATTAGCTGGCGGGTCGAAGGTGGACGAGCGAATGAGACGTACTTTGGAACGCAGGTCTCGAGCAATGTCGCGCATCTCCTCGTTTAGCTTGACGACCTTGCGTTCGGCGTCAACGTTGATGGCCGCCGTCGACTGCAGCTCGGCAACTCGGGCGTGCCAAGGCGCTTCGGAGGACACTGGAAGGGAGGGTGTCAGTGACGTGCATCCAGCGGTTAGCGAATGAAGGACGCACGCTTGACGACATGATCAGGGTCCATCGCCGTCGTCACCGTCGTGCTGATGTTCTGCGAGAGCTGCGAGAGGAGCGAGTTGACCTCGTCGAGCGGTCGAACCGACTGCTTGCCGAGCTCAACGGCGGCAATCTCCTTCGCGATCGTATGCAGGGTCATGAGTTCGAGCGGCTGCTTGGACGAGCGGACTTCGGCGCAATAGCTCTGGACGTCCGAGGCGAGCTGCACGGGCGCCGTCAGCTCACGTTCGTCAACTTGACCTGGGCTCCTCGCACCTTGAGCAGCGCAGATGCAATGGCACTGCTGTTGAAGGCGAGCGTCTCGAACCCTTGCGCGAGGTCGAGGCTGAGGGCTGTCGAGTTGGCGCCGAGGTCTTCGAAGCGTCGAAGGAGTTTTCTGCACGCGGGTTCGATCAGCACGCGCTCGCAAACTCGAGCACAGGGATTGCTCACTTCGTCAGCACTTTGGCGTTCCTCGACCCATTGACGAGGTTTTGCAGCGGCTTGAAGAGCACGTCGTCCATGTTGCCGTCGCCCGACTCGACGACCACGTCTGTCAACGGCGCCATCAGTATCAGACTGAGTCGACATGCAAGACTTCACGCACCAGGATCCTTGGCGAGAGTCGCGATCGTCTGCTTCGCGAAGCCGGCCGCGACAGCGATCGTGTCAAAGTCGTGGTCAAGCGCGACGACAAAGGCGGTCTCGCGCTCGGCGAGGTCGAGCATCGGGTCCGAGTCTTGCAAGTGCGTCTCGGCAAGATGCTCGGCTTGCGCGATCAGTCTGCACGTGGCGGTGTCAGCGGTCGGTAAGGTCGAGCGTAGTTGGAGTGGGTCCGCACCCGTCAACCTCCTTGCCACACTCCACCTCCTTGAGCTCCTCCTTGCGCAGCGCCTCGATGAATGCGTCGACCCGTCGCTCGGTAGGCGCAACCTCGCGGTAGACGCGGCCCATCTTGAGGAAAGTGTCTGGCTGGCATCGCCTGAGGTGAGCGGCGAAGCGCCTGTTGAGGGCGGCGAAGTGCGCGAGTTTGGCGCGAGTCTGGTAACGCAAAGATCAGCACTAGCACCACAGCGAGAACGAATCGAGCCCCACCTCGCAGACGCCAGCAAGATTTTCGGGAACGACGCCGTCGAGTGCTTCACCGACAGCGTGATTCTGCTCGATGAACGTATTGAGGAGGTCGACCTTGTACGCAACGCGCTCGAAGAAGAGCAGTGCCTCGACAGCATTCGAGTCGGATTCGAAGAAAGCGGGAAGGAGGTAAGGCTGAAGAGGTGTCGAAGGGTTAGCCTTTGCTGGGGAAGGGATAGACTGGTGCTCACCTTGACAATGTCTAGGTGCGCGGACGCCTGTTGCGCCTCGAGCTTGCGGAGTTCGAGGTCGATCGCCTTGACTTGGCTCTTGAGGACAGACGACTGCAGCTTGAGGTTCAAGTTGAGCATCGCCTGCGACTGGCTTGATAGCGTTTGGGACTCGTCGGCCTGCGAAGCCTGATGCTCGCGCAGTCGCTCGAGGTCGCTGGTTCGAGGCAGAAGTCAGCGACAACACAGAGAGATGCGAGGAGTGGACCGACCTCTGCAACGTGATGACGACTTCGCGGAACTGGCTGATGGTACCTTCATAGTCGATGCAGGCAGTCTCGAGCGACTCGTTGCGCCGCCGCAAGTCCTGCAGCTGCATATCCTTGAGGTCTGCAGGACACAGAGCGGTCAGGTCTTTCGCCCGAGCGGAAGAAAGCAAGGTAGCGTACCGAGTTCTCCTTGCATCTGCTTCTCCGTCTCGAGGTGCGTCTCCTCAAGCTCGTCCGCAATCTCCTTGAGCGCTTCGAGCTCCTCCACATCGGCCTTGAGGACCTCGTTGTCCTGCAAGCGCGAGTGTCAGCGAAGCGTTCGCGTGGAGAAGAAGAGTTGACGAACATCGTGGAGCTTCATGTTACGCTCCGTCAGCTCCTCGAGCATGTCTTGCGCTTCAGCTGCAATGTCGAGCTGAGTCTTAAGGTCCTCGATTTTCGCCTCCGCCTCTTCAAGCTCGACGGCCATGTTGTCGAGGTCGGCTGCGGAGAGTGCGGATCAGGGCGAAGTCGAGACGCACATCAGGGTTAACGGAACGCACATTGCAAGTCGGCGCTCAAGTCGAGCTCCTTCTCGAGTGACTCGATCTTGCGCTTCATGTTTGCCTCGCTCTCGGACGTCAAGTCGCGCATCCTGCAGGAACTGTGTTAGCTCGAATCCCCGCGCGCTGCGAGGAGGAAGCCTACTTGATGAGCGCATCCTTGAGCCGGGCGTTCTGCTTCTCAAGCTGGCGGAAAGCGAGCGAAGACGGCGCAGCGGTCCCCTCCTCCCCTTCCGCACCTCCCGCCGCAGCTCGCGCAATCTCTGCATCTCCCAAGCCTTCTAGTCGAGCTGAGCGCAAGCGAGTGTCAGCGCTGCGCGCAAGAAAAGCAGGAATCTGGTACGCACCGTTCTCCTCGCGCACAACCTCGACCTCGATCTCCAGCTCGCCAACGCGTTCCTCCAGCTCTTTCAATCGCGCAGTTGCTTCCTCGAGCTCCGACTCCGCAATCTCCTTGTCGAGCAGGCTGTGCTCGACCTGTTCCTGCAGGTCATCGAACTTGGTCTGTGCCGAATCGCGCTCGACGGCTAGGTCCTTGTTCTGCAGAGCGGACGCGTCAGCGTACGAGCCTGCCAGCACGAAGGAGGCATACGAACCTCTTTTCGCAGTTCCCTGACTTCGCCCGCTAGCTCCGCCACCCTGGCCTTCGTCTTCTCGCGCACACGGCTCCACTCGTCCGCCTCTTCCCGCAAACGATCGAGTTCTCGCAGCTTATCGAGGTCCTCGGCTCGACGACGCTCAACGATTGAAAGCTTGGCGGCGAGCTCGTCGTACACGCGTTGAGGAACAGTCTGCACAGCCATCTGTCAGCTGCGGAGTCAACAAGTCGGCTCAGGCTGCAACTTACCGCCTCGAGCGCTCTTCGCGAGTCCGCCGCCTTCAACGAGAACGGATCGCTCGGCTCTTCCGCCGCCTTGACTGACGGAGGCTTGACAGGCGATACTGCCCGCACCTCAACCTGCTCTTCCTCGCCTTCCTCCTCGATCTCCGTGCCAGCGACCGATCCGGCTCGACTGCTCTCCGCTCCTCCGCTCACTTGCCGCCGCATCCCAGCACTCGATACGCTCGCGAGACTGCCTGACCTCCGCATCCCACCATTTCCTAGAGCAGACGGAGCAGGCGAGCTGGCAGCGCTCGACGCACTTCCAGTCGACAGCTGCCGTCGCAAGCCAACACTGGGCGACTGTAACGCGGAGGGTGATGCGACGTTCCTGGCATCGGTGAGACCGGGTCGAATGGCTGATCCTGGTGCGGTGAGACGGCTGCCAGGGAGTCGTGAAGTGCGCGAAGGAGGTTGCGAAACAGGCGAGGGGACGGAAGGAGCGGGCGGGGCGAAGTTCGCGGGAGGCGGTTTCGACGCCGCGGCGACTGAGGGCGGTCGGATCAACCCAGTGCGAGGGGATGGCGGAGCGATGCTGGCCGACGCAGAAGGCGGTCGGGACCGAGGCGTCGGAGGCGGGAGCATGGACGTGCGTCGCTCGGCGGGCGGCGCAGAATTAGATGCGGACGAAGGGGGACGTGAGGCGAGAGAAGCACGAGGGGAAGGCTTGGTGGGCGAAGCTGTTCGCGGCGGATTCGAGGTCGACGCCGTGGAAGAGGCGACTGATGAAGGGCGGCGAAGGGTCGACGCTGCTGGAGAAGGTGGAACGGCTGGCAAGCGAGGAGCGGCGGAACCGACTGGTCGACTCGGCGGCCGACATCCAAGGGTTGAGGCGGGGCGCGTCGAAGTTCGAGACGACGGTCTGGATGAGCTCGGGACAGGCGGCGTCTTGAACTCGGTCGCTTCGCCTGAAACGGTTGAACCCTGCGGGAAGACCTGTGAGTCTGCAAATCTCGGCGAGACGAGAACGTCTTGCGCACCTCGTCCGCGTCCAGTACCGTCACCATGCTTGGTCGTACAAAGACGCCGTATCCTGGCGTGCACGAGAAGTACCTCGTCTCGCCGACGCTGCCATCGTTCTTGCCGCCCGGCCCGTCAAGCTCGATGCCCACCCATTTGCCGGCTGCAAAGGCGGTCTGGCCCACAAATCGCACAGTCCCTACGCCCGCACTTACCTGTACTCGCGCGCCGAGCGGGATCACGGCAGCCATTCGAGAGGGAGGTGGGGAGAGGGGGTGAGCGGGACGTCCTTGTCGTCTTTGAGCGCGGCGTCGCGTGCTCAGCAGGCGTCGAGAAGGCAGCAGGTCCTTCCCGGTGAGTGTCCTCTTGCCCCGCTACGCTGTGGTCAAGGTTGTCCCGGTGTTTGTCCTTCAGAGCGATGAGAATGGCTCGGTGGGCGAGTGCGACTACGGATGGGCAGGATACGGCCTGGCGAGGCTGAGGGGCCGTAGTGAGAGCCTGGGCGCAGCCAATACGCCAACGAGAGCCGTGAGCGTGAGCAGTCGCGGTCAAGCCGTTGCGCTCGCCCAATTCGCCTCTTCGACCTCGACAGTTCACTCGCTTCCGCTTGCGCCGCTGTGAATGGCCTCCTACCCGATTGCTCAGCCTGTTACGATCGAAGAATCGGCTTCCACGACCTTGACAGTCTCGCCCGACAAGTTGCTCTCCCCTCAGTTCGCTCACCGTCCGGGGACTGACGGTCAGCATTTGCGCTGGATAAGCCATTCGAGCTGGCTCTGTACAGATGCGGCACCTGTTTGCGCAGCCGAAAGACTCGGTGTCGACTCTCGCTTAACTCGCACAAGTCCACGGAGAAGCCGTTCGAGGAGGTACACCGCCGCACATCTCTCTCCCTCTCTTTTTCTCGTTCCGTCTCGCACTTCTCGTTCATTGCTCTTTCTCCCGCTGGTCTGCGCGCGTCGCGGAATTCTACCTGGCTTCGTTCTGAGGATGCCGCCCTGGTTCTACCTCGTCGAGCACGAACAGCCGACGCTCAGCGACCTACTAAAGCGCTTCGTCAAGCTCTACAACGCACTCGAGCGCAATGAGGGGTACCAGGAGTGGTTCGCCGACTGGTGGCACTGGTGGACAAGGCAAGGCATGGGGTACCCTTACAACGTTGTTGCGCCGTACAACGCTCGCTGGTTCTTCGATCCTGTCGAACGCAACCGGATGCTCGAGCTCCTGGACACCTTCATCGCGGATGCGTCCATCAATCTGGCGCTCATTGGCGACGCGCAGCGCCGCCTCAACGCCGACAAGCTCAAAATTCGCTCCGTGCAGGATCTCGTGAGTCAACCCTGCGACGATCAGCCGTCGTGCTGATTGCCCACTACTGCAGCCCGCGCCTCACAATTCCTGGAACGCGTTCCTGCCCTTTGACCTCGACGAACATGAGCACAAGTGGACTGACGAGCAACTGATGGAAAAAGAGAAGGTACGGTTCCGGTGGTTCGTGAAGCGGCAACGGCTAGCTCAACTCCTCTGACTTGTGCAGGAACTGCTAGCCGCCCTCGGACGGTGGCGCAAGGGGCGCGGCAATAAGTTCTCCGCGCACATGCGCAAGCGCGAAGGTTACGTCCCCCGAGACAAGCACCAGCCTGTCCGCAATGATGTACAGGCGCCTTTTAAGACACCTGACATTGCCAGATGTGCTCGCCTTGAGCGTGAGGGCGTGAGTATGCCAGTTTCGCTTGGAAGGCTGGCGCTGAGCCATTCCATTCGCAGAAACCGCTCGAGCCAGAGTACATGCCCGACGAACCGGCCCACCACGCCCAGGCCAGCTCGAGCGCCAACTCGCTTGCGCACTCGTTCCTCCACAAGTACTCGCAGCGCCAGCGCGCAATCTACCGCGTCTGAAACTTCTCCACTTCTTGTTCCGCATAACCCTTCCTCGCTTCCTACCCCCGCTCGTTTCCGCTTAACGTAGACATAACACTGCTCTGACAAGCCTGAGCGACGTATGAGTGTTTCATGGAGAGCACACCGTGTGCGAAAGTAGTTTCTCGAGGTGCCGCAGCTCCAAGCAAGTACAGCACACGCACGCGCGAGTATACCACGGCGAGCATCGTCTCCAGCCAGAAGTGCATGATCTCAATGCCTTCTTCGCTCTCGATCGAGCAGCAAGGCGAGAGAAGGGGGCCCTTGAGAGGCGAAGAGGGCGGAGGAGGCGCGTCTTGAGGGTATGGCGGCCCTACGCACCGTGTCGGGCGATCAAGCAGCGTCGGTCGGGTAAGTAGGTCACCTGCAGCCACTGGCCGCCTGTCCCGCTGCTTCGTCGTCGATGTTGTTCCGCTGCTGGCGCTTCGAGGCGATGAGGATTGTGCTGCAGGTGAGCGGATCTGCGTGGTTGCGCGGCGTGTGAGGCGAGCTTCAGAGACCAGAAGAGCCAGCCGGTAGCAGCAGCAACACTAAGGAGAGCCGTGAGCGTGAGCAGCCGCGGTCAAGCCGTCGCCCTCCCCCAATTCGCCTCTTCGACAGCTACAGTTCACTCGCTTCCGCTTGCTGCGCGCCGAACGCTCCGCTGAGATCACTACTAGGTCGAGTGGACCGACGAACGTCTCCACGGGCCCGGAAACCTCGCGCGCCTGTCCCCTGCTGCCGCCTTGTCCGCTCCCCGACGTCCTCACCGCTCTTCTGAAGCAACCCTGCATGGTCGACCACGTGGAGTACGAATGTAGATGGCGCTGCTTTGCCAAGCTGCGTTCAAGCTGTCTCAATCTGTGCGGCAAGTCCATGGACCTTCCGCTCCTCCCGCCGAGCGTTCTCCTCTCTCGCTCTGCCTCTTCCTCCCTCTCCCACCTTCTTCCCGGCTACGGCAAACACCTCGATGACGTTCCCTCCAGCTACCGCGTACACGCCTGAGGCACTGCTGCGCCGCTTCATCAAGCTTTACTACGCGCTTGGCTTTGACCACGGGTCAAGCAAGGACCAAGAAGATTTCAAGAAGTGGTTCAATACGTGGTGGATGTGTCTGTTTATCTACATCAAGGGGATCCGACCGGTTCCATGGTACGATGCAAGGTGGTGGCGGATCTCCGACGAGCATCGCAAGGAAGTGTTGAACCTTGTTGCGCGCTGGGGCGACGAGGCCGACAAGGGCGAGCTGATGCTAAATGAACTGGTACCCATTCAGCTTTCTTTTTTGCATGAAGTAAAGTAAGCTAACAACGCGTCCTCGTTCGGTCCGCCAGCCCTACCCACTGCGGGCGGGTGTCGAAGAGTTCGAGGTGTGCTACACTTCACCAGTCTTGCGCACCCTGCTGAGACTGACGTGATGTGTACAGCTCACCGAGCCGAGGCCCGCCGTCCACAAGCAGGAGCGGTATCGCACGCCGGACATTCTACAGCTTATTCGGTCCTGTCCGGAGAGGGACATCTTTGGCGTGATGCCCTCCGTGCGTGCACTCTTCTGAGCCTGAAACATTGGAGTGACTGACCTTGGCCAGCCGCAGGAAACCCTCGAGACCTTCCGTCGCGCAATCCGGCCATCCGATTACAACCCGGACGCCCTCGGCCAAGAGGCTCACTCCCTCGGCCACTCCATCTTTCAGCGATACTCGCATCGTCAGCGCGCCATCTACGGTCTGTAGGGAGGCGACAGCGGGACTCGTAGAACGCCCTTGTCGAGAAAGGACTCCTCTGGCTCTTCTCTTTTGAATAACAAGCACGTCTACTCCTCGCAAATGTCCTGGTGACACCCTTTGCAGCATCGAGACAACCATGACCGGTGAACAAGGAGCGAGCCGAAGGGCAACAGGAAGCCACCGAGTGAGAAACCGAGCGATGTTACGACAATGTGCTGAACCTCTACCTCTCCTACCTCCACTCTGCGCCTATAGCTTGCGGTACCTCCGCGCAGGCTGGAGAGCTCCGCCTTCGAGCAACCCGTCGTACTCGAACCTATTCCTCGAGCTGCTCCAGCCACTCGTCTAGTTCCGCCGTGTCAACCTTACCGCCATGCTTCATTCGCTCGTCCTTGATAGCTCTGCGCAGAAGACGAGCGTCAGGGCCAGCCACGGAGGAGAGAGCGAGGTGGGACTCGTCTCCAGAGCGAAGAAGAGGTCACGCACCGATTGTCTACTCGTGTGTCCTCGCTCTCGACGCCCAGCATCGCGTTTGGTGTCTTTGCCTCGATGACCTGCCCGCAAGAAGACCCGTCAGGACCGCGAAAACGAGACGCAAGGACCCGTGACAGCGGAAAGCGATTCCGCCGACGCACGTAGTGGTTGTCGCAGTGAGGACAGTACTCATCTGCCTCCTCGTACTTGCTCATGTCTTTTCGGAACGCTTTGCGGCACTTCTTGCACATGAAGGCCATCTCGGTCGTCTTGGCGAGCGGGTGGTCGGAGACTTCGGCATGACATTCCGGACACTGGATGCGCAGCGCAGGGGCGAGCGAAAGAGTCGGCGGTAGAGAGTGCGCGTCGGGTGCACAGGATGGCAAGAAGAGGTAGAGAGAGCGAGGAGAGGTGCGAGCGGAGCGAACGAGGTCAGCTCGCCTCACACAGCCTCGCCTGACCCGCCAAGGATCCTGTGCACTCACATCGAACCATTTCTTGCAGCATGGTGCCCGAACCGAAGCCTGCGCGTTGAGGATGTGCTGTCGCCGGACGGAAACTGATGAGCGAGTCGCGACGTGCGAAGAGGGCGAAGTACGGCTCGCTGGGAGTGCGAGCGGGCGTAGAAAGCTTGCGTACCTTGCACATGCTCGTCCAAGCCAGCAAGAAGCGGCGGCGAGCGAGTCGTGAGCGGTGGTCGTCGGGAAGAGATGGTTCCTCATCAACGGTTCACTTTGCCCTCGCTGCTCTCGCTAGACTGGGCTGTAAGAACTGAAGTGAGCTCGCTAGAAGCATGTACGGCATCCCACCGCCGCCGCGATTGCCCAAAGACGCGCCTCAGCCAAAAGTCTCCCCTTCCTCCTCCTCCTCGCGACCAACGTCCTCCTCCTCTTCCCGCTTTACAGAGATCGACCCGAGCAGCTCGAGCAGTGCGGCGAAACGGACGAGTCATGGCGGAAATGGAGAGCAATCGCTCGTCTCGTACCTCCTCGAACACCCTGCCGCCCTCTTCACCGACCACGAGCGATGCTTCGACCTGGTTGCGACGGCGGTCTTGCTGTGGGAATCTGTGCTATCGGTCGGAGTCGTCAAGTATATCAAGTGTGAGTACCTGGCTTGTCGAGTTCGCGTATCGGAAGGTTCAGCTGCTCACGAAACCATATTTGCGTGCGCGTCCTTGCAGATACCGAGATCGACTTCAGCACGTACATGCAACAGGCGCAGGTGTTCCTTGACGGCGAGCGGGATTACAGCATGATGAAGGGAGACAGCGGGCCAGCTTAGTGCGTCGTCGGTCCTTCCCCTCCCTCCCTCTACCGTCGTCCGCCGTCTGCGCTGCGATGCAACGACGGATGCAGCAGCGGGACGCCTGGACTTGCGGCCCTGAGCGAGCACTCGTCCTGACGCTTCCTCCGCGCAGCTACCCCGCCCTGCACATCTACCTCTACTCGGCCATTTCGCGACTGACCGCCGGCGGCAAGCACCTTGAGCGAGCGCAATGGCTGTTTGCTGGCGTGTACGTCTTGACGATGGCGATCGTCATCTTCGGGATCTACCGCAGGAAACCCAAGGTGCGTTCCCTGGGCTGTCCAGCTCATGTCGCTATCGTCGACGTCGGGCTATAGCGCTCATCCACTTGAAGTGACGGATGGCGCAGCTGACTTATAAGCATCTACAGATCCCGCCTTACGCCCTTCCCCTCCTCACCATCTCGAAACGTCTCCACTCAATCTACATGCTCCGCATGTTCAACGACGCGCTCGTCATGCTCTTCGTCTACTCCGCCATCGCCCTCTATATGGTGCCGGTGAAGGCGACAAGTCCCACGGAGCGATGGAAGCTTGAGCGGAGGTGGCTGTTCGGGACGGTCTTGATGAGGTGCGCCGACGGCCGTAAGAGAAGCAAGATTTGACGACCTGCCAGTCACTGATCAAGCCTCTCTTCGCGCAGTTGCGCCCTCTCGATCAAGATGTCGACCCTCCTCTTCCTCCCCGCGCTCTTCTACCTGCTCTGCACGCACTTCTCGCCTCTCACCCTCGTCCAGCACATCCTCGTTCTCCTCCTCACGCAGACCCTCTTCGCTCTCCCCTTCACCCTTCCCTCCCGTTCACACCTCACGACCTACCTCTCGCAAGCATTCGACTTTTCCCGCACCTTCGAATGGGAATACACGATGAACTGGCGGTGGCTAGGCGAAGAGGCGTTCGAGAATCCGGCGTGGGGGAAGATGTTGCTCGTTGCGCATGCGGCCGGATTGGGACTGTGGGCGTGGAAGTGGGCAGAAGAGGATGGCGGAGTCGAGAAGGTGTTGAAGCGGGCGATGTTGAAGCCGACGACGAAGCCGGCTCTCACGGCGTTGACGTCCTCGCGTGCGTCCTTCACTGAGATAAAGGATCGCGAGTCCATCTGCTAACCGGCTTTCGCATCCCCGCAGGCATCGCAACGCTCTTCTTCGTCTCGAATCTCACCGGCATCGTCTGCGCTCGCTCATTGCACCCGCAGTTCTATGCCTGGTTCGCGCATCAGGGCGTCTGGATGGTGTTCGGGACGGGATGGGCGATCGAGCCCATGCACGGGTGCGTTCGCTCGAGCGGCTTTCGCCTGCCGCTCTTCCTCTCATCGCTCACACACAAATCGCTTATGAGGATCTCGCTCGCAGCCTCGTCGTTCTCTCGCTCGTCGAGTACGGCTTTTCCGTCTGGCCCTCGACCGTCAACTCCTCCCTCGGCCTCGTCCTGTCCCTCCTTGTCACGCTCGTCAGCGTCTACTACGTCGACTCGAACCCCAGTACGCGTCAAGGAAACAAAGAGGAGGTCGTCGTGCCGGTGGAGTGGACAGATGCGCAAAGCAAGGGTGGGAAGAAGGAGTAGCGAGCGAGTTTGCATCAGCCGCTTCGTTCCTCCTAGCCTCGCGACGCCCTTACGCACAAGCTGCGATTTCGCTTCTCTCTGGCAACGGGTGCGTGAACCGGAACGGAGGAAGGAGGCAGCGTGATTTGCAAGGGGAGGAGGAGGGAGGACAGTTTCTGGACAAGCCGTGCGCAATATGGATATACGGCAAGGTGATGGCTGGCGACTAGTCAAGGCCGTAGATGGCGCGCTGGCGATGCGAGTAGCGGTCAAGGATGTTGAGCGTGCCGTGCGCGAGAGAGCGGAAATGATGCGGGTGGCGCGGGCCCGTCGAGCTGAAGTGGACCGGCGGCTCGAGGAACGCTGGTGGGTCAACGGCGGGTGGGGGAGGCAAGGTGTGCGTTGGTGATGGCGGAGGAGGTGCGAACGCGTGCGCGACTTGCGGAGCTGGGTTGGCGCGACTGGCGTGGGTGACGCTGTACTCGACTCCGCTGGTGTTCCACGGCTCAAACTGCTGCACAAGAGATTGCTGAGGGATGGCGGTCAGCCTTGATCTTCGAGAAGGCGGCGAGAAGGAGCGTACGCCCTCGGAACGCAGTTGTGCGCATTCCCCAATCTTGGGCACGGCGTATCCATGCCTCGATGAGCTTGCTCCGCCCCGGTACTTGCGGGCTGAGACCGCATTTCGACGACGGAGAGACCAACTCTTGAAGTCGTGCATGTAAAGCTTTGGAGCGCAAGCAAGATCAGCCAAAGTCGATCTTTGCGGCAACGGGACTCTCACCTGCTCTTCCTCCCGAGATGTTTGACGCCAGGGGTCTTTGCAGGAGTCCGTAGGTATCACCTGTACAGCGGCAAATCAGTGCGCGTCGAGAACTGGTATTGTTCCCTGGAGGAATCGGGTACGCACCAACATGCTCGGCTGTAAGCGTCCCCTCTGTGCTTCGCTGACGTAGCCCACCAGCATCGCACACATTCTCCCACGTTCGTTGTCAGTTGGGAGCCGTCACCAACGCGCGGCGTAAAACGCCGCGATAGGTGTCCGTGATTCGCCAAACTCTCGAGTCCAAAAGTTCCACCAGTCCTCAAACCAGTCCTGGTATGCGTCTGTAAAGGCCTCCGACGGATCCGTCTGCAGCGCCTCGTACAGATCGATGAAAAGGCTGAGCAGGCGCAGGAGGGGGTATTGCGTCGGTGGGAACAGGTCCCTGAAGGCGGGATCGGGCGCCGACATCCTGAGCTGTCCGCACTGGCAGCGGGAAGGCAGACAACGGCGGAACCGCAATACGAGGTGAAGAACGAAGGGAAGAGTCGGGCAAAGCTGGATAAGTATAGATCCGCGGATCTACCGAGACATGAGGTCCGGCCTGAACCACGCGAGCCAGCATAGCAGAGCAGAAAGGAGCGAGCGCCGGGGGAAGCCGAGGAGCGAAAGGAGACTGGCAGCGGAAGAGCAGGCGGCGATTTGAGAAGGTCATGTCGCGGTCGTCCTCGTTTGCCTTGCCATGCGCGGGCGCTTTTGCTCAGGTTCGCAGGCACTCAAGCCAAGTGTACGACGTTCAGTCACAGCGAGCGCTACGAGGCCGCACGGACGAGCGGAGTGGGCGAGAGAGCGAACGCCCGACTTCGCCCTTCGCGGCGAACGAAAGGCCGAGGCGATTTACGAGGTCTCGAACTCGTGCTCCGACTTCTCGCGACTTTGCAGCTTCCCCCACTCCCGACCGAAAGAGTCGTCAGACCCAGACGAAGTGGCCCGTTGTCCTCGCTTCCTCGACATCCCGCTGCACTTGCCTGTCCTCGCTCAGCTCGACCACCGACTGCCAGAACTCCAACGACCACACTCCAGCATGCCCTCCCGCGCCCAGACCGTCGAGTCTGTCACGCTCGTCGAAGGCCATGCGTTTCCGACGGGCAAGACGTTCGCAGGACAGGACTCGCTCCCGAAGCTGCCCGTTCCGCCGCTCGAGGACACGATGAAGCGCTATGTGAAGGCGCTCGAGGGCTTGCAGGTGCGTTCAGCGTCCTCGCAGGACGACTCGCTCAGAGGGTCAGGTGGGGAAGCGGGAAAAGAGCGCGCAGAAGCTTGCGCGGCAGGTCACGCTGGCAGAGGGCCCACCAAGAGCGAGCTTGTGTGAATCGACGCTGTGTACCGCACGCTGACTTCCCGTTCGGCTCCTCCTTCCAACTCTTCCATCTCCACTTGACCCGATTCCCTCCCGACCTACTCGACGTGAACCACCGTTGCGGTCCCCTGGTCCTCCGGTATCGCATACTGGCATCGCAGTCGTCGAGCGAGCACGAGCGGACAAAGGAGGTCGTCGACGAGTTTCTCAAGAAGGATGGACCGAAGCTCCACCAGCGCCTCGTCGACTATGCTTCGAATCGAGCCTCATACATCGAAGAGTGGTGGACAGAGTCGTGCGTACTGCGTCTCTCGCGACTGACGCCGACTTCGACATTTAAGGGTTGCGAGACTGACGACTCGCTCTCGCTCTTGCAGCTACCTCTCGCACGCTGACTCAGTCGTTCTCTCCCTGAACCCCTTCTTCATTCTCGAAGACGACCCTACACCAGCACGCGGCAACCAGCTCATGCGCGCGACCTCGCTCATCCTCGCCTCGCTGGACTTCATCCACGACCTCCGAACAGGCGAACTCGAACCCGACAGCTTCCGCGGCACTCCGCTCGACATGTCGCAGTACACCAAGCTGTTCGGCACCTCGCGGATCCCGACAAAGACTGGCTGCAAGATGCAAATCGACCCGGAGAGTCGGCACATTGTCGTTCTTGCGCGAGGCCAGCTCTACTGGTTCGACGTGCTCGACTCGAAGAACCGGCCTGCAATGACGGAGCGCGCCCTTCTCGCCAACCTCACCGCGATCGCCGCTGACGCCGGCCGAACGCCTCCTAACCAAGTCGCGCAATCCGCTCTCGGCGTCTTGACGACCGAGCGACGAACGATCTGGGCGCATCATCGCTCGCACCTCATGCAGAACGACGGCAACGCCATGTGCCTCGACGTCGTCGACAAGGCGCTCTTTGTCGTCTGCCTGGACGACACGAGTCCCGAGACGCCGAGCGAGATGTGCACCAACATGCTTTGCGGGACGTACAAGCTCGACAAGGGCGTCCAGGTTGGGACTTGCACGAATCGCTGGTACGACAAGCTGCAGATCATCGTCGCGGCGAACGGCGCGGCCGGCATCAACTTTGAGCACTCGGGCGTCGATGGCCACACGGTCCTCCGGTGATTTACCGTCTCTTTCCGCAACCGGTCTCGTTAGTGCTGACATCTCTCGCCTTGCCAGCTTTGTCGGCGACATCTACACCGAGCTGATTCTCCGTTTCGCTCGCTCGATCAACTCGGCTTCCGGCACGCTCTTCAAGGCGAAGCTTTCGCCGTGGGCAAAGGGCGGTCCGGGCAAGAAGCAGCCTGTCGAAGGCGAGCAGCCTGAGGTCATCGATACCGAGCCGAAGAAGCTCGAGTGGGTCATGACGCCCGAACTCAAGCTCGCGGTCGTCAGTCCTCTTCCCGCTTTCGTCGTTGAGCTTTCCCGTCTGATATGAACGAGCCCCCAGCGCTTCGCCGAGACTCGACTGTCCGACTTGATCTGCCAGAACGAAGTCGTCGCGCTCGAGTTTGATGCGTACGGCAAGAACACCATCACCCGTACGCCTCCCTACGCATTCTACTGACTGAGAAAGATGCTGACACCTCTCGCTCGCGTAGAACACGGCTTCTCCCCAGACGCTTTCGTCCAGATGGCGTACCAGGCGGCTTACTTCTCGCTCTACGGCCGAACCGAGTCAACGTACGAGCCAGCGATGACCAAGGCGTTCCTGCACGGTCGCACGGAGGCGATCCGTACCGTCACTCCCGAGTGAGCCGCGTCGCTTGCTGCAAGATCAGGCAGCCGAAGCTAATCGTTCTTCTCCGCAGATGCGTCGACTTTGTCAAGACCTTCTGCTCCGAAGCCTCGCCGCGCGACAAGATCGCCGCTCTTCGCAAGGCGTGCAAGGCGCACACGGAGCTTACGAAGGCGTGCTCGAAAGGACTCGGGCAGGACCGCATCCTGTACGCGATGTACTGCCTCGCCCAACAAGCGCAGAAGCGCGAGCGTGCGATGAGCGGCTCGTCGATCGCCAACGGGGACGGTAGCTCGGAGGAAGAGTCGGAGGACTCGGAGATCAGTGAGGAGACGCTGGCGAGGATTCCGGCGCTCTTTAAGGACCCCGGCTACTCCACGCTCGGCCACTCGACGCTTTCGACGTCCAACTGCGGAAACGACTGCTTGCGGGCGTTCGGCTTCGGGCCTGTTGTTGCGGACGGACTGGGTATCGGCTACATCATCAAGGTGAGTGCGCCGTGATTCTCCCTTCTTTAAACCATCTGTTTCCCCCACCAGCCCTGTTCTCGCTCTCTCTTCTCTTTTCGGATCCCTTGCTGACAATCTCACTGCGTCGGCTCTCCCCCTTCGCATCTGCAGCCCGAGTCGATCTCGATCTGCGCCTCAAGCAAGCACCGCCAAACAGCCCGCTTCCTCGACGCCCTCAAGGCGTACTTTGTCGAGGTCCAGCGCATGCTCAAGCAGCTGCACCAGGAGTCGAACCGAAACCCGAACTCGGTGCGTTTCAAGCTTGTCATTAGCCGCAGATTGGTCGCGGAGGTGCTGACGCTTGCTTTCAATTCGCCATCACAGCGCTTCGTCGACCCTATCCTCGGCGAGATCGGTGCGTCCGATTCTCCCTCTTCCAATAATATCTTCCGCTCGAGCTCGTTTGGCAGGATGAGCGCTGACCTTCCTACACTTCCTCCTTCCTATCTGCTCCCTCTCCACTCCCTCTCTCCCCCCTGTTTCCATCTGTCGTCCTCTCCCGCTACCATAGACGCCCGCACCGGCAAGCCCATCTCGCACCTCAAAGGTGGCTCTCGCACGCCCTCCGAGTACAGCGACGGCTACGGCATGTACGGCAGCTTGTCGGAGGAAGTCGCGCGCGCCTTGGACAAGAATAGGGTCGTCAGGAGGACGCAGGTCGTGCCTGGAACGAGGATTGCGACGGTTGAGCTGTAAGGCGCGAGGAGGAGGAAGCGGAGGGACCGGGGGGAAGACTGAGGGCGATCAGCTCGCAGAGTGATTGTTGTACTTCGCTCGTTGTCCTTGTATGTCCGAACTCTTTGCAAGCTTTTGGTCTTGGTCGATTCCGCAGCGAAGCAGACGAGCGGGAGGAATCGACGTTTGGCGCCATAGCCCACGACTGTGCGCTCTCGCTCTTGCCGAGGCCTGTTGGTGCTTTAGCAGCTGAGTAACATATCTGTGTACTGCACAGAACCGTCCATCAGCGGCCTAACGGCTGAACCGCTCCCTCTGCAGTTCCTACCTTTCTTCCTCGCGCATTCAGGTAGTGGGAGGAGTTGGAAGGATCCTCATTCTGCATGAGCTATGCCCCGCTGCATCGACCAGTCAGCAGCAGACGAGAATGAGCAGGTCGGTGCCGACGCGCAGTGTCAACGAGTTGACCTTCCCAAAGTCGAGTTTGTTGTCCGTCAAGCGTCAAGCCCAAGGCGTCAGGCGTCAGGCGCCAAAGGATGCAAGTAACTAACTTATCGGTCGCGAGGAGAAGCGGAGGAAACCTCCGACGAGCGCTCGAGACTCGTCCGCGGATGTCCCTCTGGCGGTTCGTCATTTCCTTCGAGCCTTCCTCGCTTTGCACGCTACCCTCCCCCTCCTTGCTACAGCTTGGCCTTGCTATGGAGTTGACGCTGCCCAAGCCTGATGAGGAACTCGCAGCGCAGCTGGATAAGGACGCTCCAGCAGGGCGACAGATTGTTCGGGCAGGTACGCCTGTTCAACGCAGACGATACCACCCTCCTTTCGCTGAGCGTGGTCTTCCCTTCCCCCACAGTCACAGGCAGTTCGTACACCCACGCTCTCTTGCCTCCTCGCCGCTCACGAGCACTTTTTGCAGTGCTTCAGACACTGCTCCGCCTGGATAGGGGTACAGGACTGGTGATCAGCACGATGCGTCTCGCTGAACTTGTGCGCATCAAAGGTACGCAAGGACGCACCGTGAAGCAGTTTCGCGCGCTCAGTTGACTTGTCTTCCAGATCTTCCTGCGCCGGAGCCGTTGAAGAAATCGGCACAGATGACGGCACAGCTAGTTGCTACGTTTCGCCGGCAAGAGTATCCCGAGGCGTTCAGCAGGAGCAAGGGCAAGGCGCATACGGACAGGTTGCAGATCGAGTCGTTGGCTGAGCAGATTGTCGCGAAGGCAAGTCGCCTCCATCGCAATATCGCTGCATCAGTATTGATGAGTTCGTGCAGATGGAAGAGCTAGACAGGCGAGGCAAGTCGTCAGCTACCGCGCAAAGCAATCACTCAGTGCTGATCACGAAGTTTCCTCGATCCGCTAGTTGACAGCGGTGCGTTCTTCCCCTCCTCGCGTCCTCGAAGGCGGCACTGATGATGCATCGCGTGCGTGGTGAAGCCCGTGAAGCTTCGGAGAAGGCGCCGGAGGACGAGCGCGAGCGTTACGAGAATTCCTTCCGCGCTCTTGTAGGACTTTCCCGCTTTCTTCCTACCACACTCTCGCTCCACACTGACTCCACTTGCAGCACGGTGATTGGGAGTTCATGCACCGCCAGGTCCTGCACGACTTCTATACGGAGCTCAAGAGGCGTCTCGGCGAGGAGCGCTTCGAGCATATCAGGCGGAACATCCGTCAGCTTCCGGCCGGCGCAGGATCGGTTCGTTCGCTGAGCAAGCAGTCCATAGGCTGTGAAGGAGGGTACAGACGGGCAATGATTTACGGGATGTGACGGGGACGAGGCGAGGAATGTGTTTGGTTGCAATTCAATGGACACGCGACAACTACAGCTGTACCTGGTGCGCGATGTGCCGAAGAAACACCTCGATGAGGTGTAGCAGTCACGGGTTGTAGGATGTGAGAGCGCAGGAAGCGATGCGACTGGCGCGATGTAGAGGAGAGGATGGAATGGAGTCTGCCGCTGGAAGCGTACAGCGTACAGGAACGGAGTTGAGCAGAGGCTGAATTGGTGCATGACGTCGTAGCCAAATGAATGAGCGACCGGGATTGAACTGAGCGACCGGGATGAAATGAGGAAGGGCTGCTCTGAGCGAGAGAGTACGAGACCGTCGTCAGCTTCAGAAGACAGAAGATCTGCCTCGATGGAGCGCACAGGGAAGATGGGCGCACGAGAGCGTCGCCATGATCGAACATGCAGACAAGCTCGACGCGAGCAGTCGTTTCCTGGTTGATACGCCTCGTTTCGGTCACGCCTTTGCCCCCTGCCGCTGCTCGCCTCCGACGTATCCCACATCGTATCCCCCGCCTGAGGGTGGAGCGTATTGCGAGCTTGCTGCGCCGGTATTGGGGTGCTTCGAGTCGGCGGAGTTCGAGGAGGAAGGGGCGAGGGCGGAGTATTCTGCGAGTGAGAGGACGGGCACGAGCGAGGGCGTGATCTGGAGGACGGAGAAAGGTCAGGAAGAGGGAAGGGGACGTACGGCAGATTCCGCACTGTGCCGTGAACGAAGAGGGAAAGAGGGAGGTCAGCGAACGCTTGTCGCTTTGTTGCCGCTCAGCAGCGTCCTTCAACGCACGAACAAGATATGCTTAGCCTTGAACGGCACCCTGCACACACGCAGACCACACTCATCAGCCTCGATCCAACCCAGCACCGCCTCACCGTCATCAACCTGGCACTCACAGCGGGATCCAGAAGAAACTGAACCACTGCCTGCGCTTGAATGGCTGGAGAGAGTGGTTGCGGCAGCGCGGGCACTCGAGGGGCCCGTTGGAGGCGGAGGAGGGGTCCGGTTTGAGTCTTGCGATGAGAATGAGGATGTCAGCGGAGAGAGAGGGAGAGGGAGGGTGGAGCGCACTTGGTGTCGAGTCCGCAGACGAGGGGGATGCAGAAGAACATGGCAGCGAGCGAAGCGGAGTGAGCGAGAGAAGTGAAGGAGAGGAAGCCAAGAGTCGGGGACGGCGAGGAGGAGAAGGGGAGGGAGCGGCCGACGGGAAGCTGTACTTCCGCTAGCCTGAGAAAGTGTGTCTCGTGCTGCCTATGAAGCGAAAAGAAGAGCGCCGTACGTCGGGGCAGAGCGAGAAGAGGGAAGAGGAAAGGAAGCAAAACCCCCAAGGACGCCCTCGTCGCGCGAGACAGACGATATGCAAGTTGCGAAATGCACTGTGCGAGAACACGAGAACCAGAGACGAACCGCCGCTGCCCTGCCATCACCATCGCAGGGCCCATCAACCCCTCCTCCCTTTCCCCCCTCCTCCTTCTACCGGACGACCAGCGCCCCCTTAGAATCCCTTCGCATGTCCACCCTTCTCGTAGAACGCCTCAAGGCGCTCGATGATCGCGCCGAGAGCCTGGTTCCACTTGCTCAGTTCCGAATCGACGGGCGCTTCGGGCGGTCCGAGTTTCGCGTAGAAGTCTTTGCGGTACGGGCAGGCCTTCATCGCCAACTGCGTGTCTCCCCATCGTCAGCTCGCACGCGAGGCGAGTAAGAAGGAAGGGAATGGAACGAACGGCAAAGATAGGCTTGACGACGAACGAGTGGTACTTCTTGAGCGTCTGCTCGTACGCCTTGGAGAACGAGTCGGCGAGCTCTTCGGTCTTGTCGGCTTGCGAACGCTGCAGGGCGACTTGGGTGAACTTGAGGCCGCTGTGCGTGCAGAAGCGTGAAATACGAGTCAGTACGAGTTTCTGGCTCGTCCGCAAGGTGACGACAAGCATGCAGCGTTCCTCCTCGTCAGAATGAAGCGCTGCGAGCCTCCGACCCTAGACGAGCCTCCCTCTTCCTCGAAAGACAGGCACACGAGTGAAACGCACCGCAACAGCCACAACAACCCCTCGGTCGCAGTCCTCTTCTTCTCGCCCTTCTCGTTCTCGACGAGCTGCTCGAGCGTTTGGGACTGGGCCGGGTGGGCGGCGTACCGCGTGCGGATTTTCTGCGAGCCAGGAGAGGGAGGAGAGGGAGGGGGTTAGCGAGGGTCGAGAAACGGCGTCCGCCGGAAGGGCGCGCTGGAAGACTGCAAGAATACGCCGTGTTTTCTCGAAAAGGAGAAAGACCGCCTGCAATCGCAAGTTCGCCAGCAGACTCCTCCTCGACTCCTCATCCAGGCTCCTCGTCCGTCCTTGCCTCTTCGTCTTTGAGCAAGCACAGCACGAGTGTGGACTCACGGTAACGTTCCCATTCATGTCATTCTGCACAATCGTGAAGCTCGGGTTGCCCAGCAAGTCTGTCGCCGTCGAACGCCCCCACACGCGACGGGCACGAACGCATCCTCGTCAGCGCGCTCTTCCAGACGAGCTGAGAGTAGGAAGAGAGCGCACCAAACATCTTGATCAGCCCCTCGGTCGCCTCGAGGAACGCAAGGGTGTCGACTCCCTGCTCCGTAACGGGCACGTCGACGAACGACTGTTCGCTCGTCCCAGGCCCCCGTCAGCTCGCTCGTGTTCACAGGAAGGAGATTGGGTGAGGACGAGCCTTTTGGACGGTGTCGAAGTAGGTGGACATGGCTGGTCGTGTGGATAGAGTGAGGAAGGGAAGAGGAGGACGCGGAGCGGCGCGAGAGCGGGACGAGGGGGACATGCGTGTCTTTGCTTTTCGAGGCTTGCTTGCACTGGAATGGGTTGTGAGGGAACGGGGTGCATTGCGCTACTTCTACTGCACCGAACGCGCGACCGAGAAGACCTTGAGAGGGATGATTTCGCCTCTCCCACCCTAAGGTGTCGATTCCACCCAGCTGTCTGGCCCACGTATGTCGTGTCGAGGCAGCGCTTGGGCCTGCACAAAGTCGCCCATCATCGAGGGAGGGCTGGAAGTCGAGACGCGCTACGAGAGCGAGCGGAAGAGGGACAGGAGTAGCGCGTGTGCCGCCAGACGAAAGCCGACAGCCAGATCCAAGCGCAGTCGTGCGAGCCAGTGGTCTTTGCGGCAAAGCAAGCCAACAGCATGACGCTGGCAGGCCCGCCAGACCTCGTTGGCGGCGCTGAGGGGAGCCTGGACGGGTCGAGCGAGGAGACGGAGCGCATGCTGTCGGCCTCCTCGTCGCTTTGGCGAGCGGTGATAGGCCATACGTAGTCAATGAGGAATCGTGCGCGCCCTCCGAGTCCATCAGCTCAGCAGCAGGCGTGTGTGAGCCGTACAACCCCGGTGAGCGAGTCGGGAGGAATGCGTTCACAGCTTGACGACGACGGCAGCTGGCGGTGTGCGAGTTGGACTAGGTAGGAGCTAGTGATCCAGTGAGTAGAGCTGAACCTAGCTAGAGCCTGCCAGTGCGAGCGAGCGAGCGTGTGGTGAGTGAGCGCGGGCCACTCTCGTCGACTTGGGCGAGCGAGCGTCGTCCGCCTCGTCCTCCTCGCAACACCCGCTCGCCCCGTGCTTCAGACAGGCTCACACCCCGTCTGACTCACACAAACCACCTCACAAACACCCACCATGGCGTCCACCACCCCCGCGGCTACCAAGTGAGCTCACTCGACCACCCGTCCTTTTTCGCACCACCACGAGGCACACACAGCTCGCCACAGACAGCGCGCCGAGTGGAACTCTGTGAGATGGCGAAGGAACGGTTGCATGAGGGCAGCAGGGACTCGAACGGGACTCGCACGAGCAGTGGCGGGCGCGATACAGGAGCCAACAAAGGGTCACATCGCTCACCGAGAGGCGAACACTGACCTCGTTCGTTGTGTTCGTCTGCGTGCAGGCCCGAGACTCCCGCCGCTGAGGCTCCCGCCCAGGCTGCTGGCGGCCTCGAGAACCCCGAGGAGGGCCTCATCGAGTCCAAGTGAGTGGCCACCCGCTTCCGTCTCTCCTCGTCTCTTGTGCGCCGTGCTGACCTTCATTCCGTGGTGTGTGCGTGATGTAGCTGGGACCAGGTTGTCGAGTGAGTCGCGCCCGTTTCCGTTCGAGCTTAGTGACCCGGAAGCTCACCTCGTTTCCGCCCCACAGCAACTTTGACGACATGAACCTCCGCCCCGAGCTCCTCCGCGGCATCTACGCCTACGGGTGAGCTGGCGTGCTGTACCGGAGTTCTCGGACGGGAGCTGACGCGAGGTTCGGTGCAGTTTCGAGCGCCCGTCGGCTATCCAGCAGCGCGCCATCATGCCCGTTGTCGCCGTACGTCTCGTCCATCCTAGCTTGTCGTCCGTACGACCACTGACACGGCGCTGTACGCGCGCAGGGCCACGACGTTATTGCCCAGGCCCAGTCGGGAACCGGCAAGACGGCCACCTTCTCCGTCTCGATTCTCCAGTCGATCGACGTCAACCTCAAGCAGCCGCAGGCGCTCGTCCTCGCCCCGACCCGCGAGCTCGCCCAGCAGATCCAGAAGGTCGTCATCGCGCTCGGCGACTACATGAACATCGAGTGCTTCGCCGCCGTCGGCGGAACCTCGGTCCGCGAGGCCATGGCCAAGCTCCAGGAGGGCGTCCACGTCATCGTCGGCACCCCCGGACGTGTCTTTGACATGATCCAGCGCCGCGCGCTCAAGACGGACCACATCAAGATCTTCTGCCTTGACGAGGCCGACGAGATGCTCTCGCGCGGTTTCAAGGACCAGATCTACGACGTGTTCCAGCTCTTGCCGCCGACGACCCAGGTCGTCCTCCTCTCGGCCACGATGCCGGCCGACGTCCTCGAGGTCACGACCAAGTTTATGCGCGACCCGATCCGCATCCTCGTCAAGCGCGACGAGCTCACGCTTGAAGGTATCAAGCAGTTTTTCATCGCCGTCGAGAAGGAGGAGTGGAAGCTCGAGACCCTCTCGGACTTGTACGAGACCGTCACCATCACCCAGGCCGTCATCTTCTGCAACACCCGCCGAAAGGTCGACTGGCTCACCGACAAGCTCCAGGCCCGCGAGTTTACCGTCTCGGGTGCGCGCACACAGTCCAAAGTCTCCCTCCCGAGCGCGCCTTTGCTGACGCCCGGTCGTTCGCAGCCATGCACGGCGACATGGAGCAGGCCCAGCGTGAGGTCATTATGAAGGAGTTCCGCTCCGGCTCCTCGCGTGTCCTCATCACGACCGACCTCCTCGCCCGCGGCATCGACGTCCAGCAGGTCTCGCTCGTCATCAACTACGACCTCCCCTCGTCCCGCGAGAACTACATCCACCGTATCGGCCGTGGCGGTCGTTTCGGTCGCAAGGGTGTCGCGATCAACTTTGTCACCCAGGAGGACGTCCCCGCGCTCCGTGACATTGAGCGCTTCTACAACACCCAGGCGCGTGTTGGCGGGAAGAGGCGCGTTGTCCGGTCTTGCTGACAGTGTCCCACTCTTTCTTTCTTCCCTCCCTTCTTCTTTCTGCCTCTGCTTGCTCCGTCCTCGTTTACGACACGCTCTCGGCATTCGCTTCCTTGTTACACCTGCGCTCCGGCCCGCTCGAATCGACTTGTGCAACATCCACCGCTCGCCATCCGACTTCCTCGCTTCCTCGCCCTCCGCTCTCTTTTACTTGCACCATCTCTCCTTCGACAAACGCCTGCATCGCGCCCGCCTTGTTTGACCGGATCTGGCGCCATTCGATTCGACTTCCGCCTCCTCGACTCGCCTCACCTCGCCTCATGCTCTGGTGCGCCTCTTTTTCCTCTCCACTAACCGTTCCTCCTTCTCCGTGCTGGCGTGTGGACGCTTCCGCCTTCGTGCTCGTCCTCGCTCGCCTGCGTCGACTCTCACCCCCTCGACCCGGCCTGCCCCTCCCTGGCCTCCCCGCCTCTCCGCCTCACTCGTTCCGGCCGGCGTCCGTCAAACAGATTGACGAGATGCCAATGAACGTTGCCGTAAATTGTTGCCTAGGTTATATCTATAGCAGACGGAAACGCTGACTCTCCGACTTGGCCGCGCAGGACCTCATCTAAGCGCACCCACTCCCGCCTCCTCCTCCCGCCGCCTAGACCCTTTGCTCTCACTGTACTCCACTCCTCCTTCTCGTCCTTCACGCCACTGCCGACACCCATCCTCCCGGCGCCGCGACGCACCCCCTCAAAAGCCTCGGGTCGCGAGGGTCCTCCTCCTCACACCCCCACACCTTTCGCTTTCCTCCCGCACCGTAGCAGGCATTCCAATCACCTCCCTTCTCTCCTCCTACTTTTACACTCGGTTACTGTAACTTGGCTTTCTACCCTTCCAGCGTTGGCGAACGACAGCTGTCTAGTCGAGGCGGAGTCGTCGGCAGCATCGGTATCCTCCTTTCGCTCATTCGTGCCGGCAGCGAGCTCACAAAGCTCGACAGTTGCCCGTCCAATGCTCACTTGGCCGACAGAACAAGGTCGACTGCCGCTCACACCGCGACTCGCCCTTGTCAGCTTGTCCCTTGTTGCCCCTTCGCTCGCTCACGCTCACACGGCTTGCGCGGCTCGCTTGACCTGCTACAGCCGTTGGACTCGCTCCTTTCTAGCCTGTACACACGGTCATGGCCCCTGCGACGCGGTCGACCAAGCGTGCCGCCTCCCCTCCTCCCGACTCTCGCGCGACCCGTCCGCGCCTTCCCTTCGCCTCTGTCGCATCCGTGCAGCTCGTGATCGTCCACTACAAGGACCAGCAAGTGTTGCTTCGGGTCGTTAATGGCAAGTACGATACATTTACCGACGCTGTCGCTCAAACTTTCCACTTCCCTCCACACTGGGTCGACACCGTCGAGCGTGAGATCGAGGGCAGCTGGGTGATGCTCGACAAATCTGTCTGGGAGGACCAGATGAAGGAGCCGTACGCGGAAGTGTGGCCGCGGTACAGGGTGACGGCGGAGCAGCATCCGGAAGGGACGATGCGGATGTTCGCGGAGATTGAGGGCGACAAGACGGTGCGGTTCCGTCTTCCCGAGGCTTTGCTGCCGTCACAGAGTCACTGACAGTCATCCGCAACAGTACAAGCTCTGGGTATACAGTTCCGACTCCGTCGACAACGTCAAACGCTTGATCCACGACAAGCTGGGCATTCCGGCCGACCAGCAGCGCCTGATCTTCGAGCGCAAGCAGCTCGAAGATGGACGTACGCTCTCGGACTACAACATCCAGCGCAACACTACCATCCAGATGGTGTTCCGTCTGCGGGGCGGCAAGCCTGTCATCTACCTCTTCCCGCCGACTCCACTCGACTCGGCGTCCGTCTCGGTCACCCTCGCACCCGAGTGGCACTTCTTCGCCCTGTATCCCGTGGTCAACCCGGTCAAGTGCGGAAACGGCGAGACGACCGCGAGCTGGACTGTCTCTGCGCAACCCGACGGCTCTCTCGTCGACCTCGCCTCGGGCCTTGAGCTCGCGTACCTCTTCTGGGAGGCCGAGTCGTACAAAACGATGTCGAACACCCCCTCGCAGCTCGCCTTCGACCCGTCGAACCCCTCGCTCGACGTCTCGAACGGCTGCGCGCTTCCCTTCGCCGCCTTCCTCGCCCACCTCGACAAGACGCTCGCCGCTCTCTCGCTCCACACCGCCGCAAGGAACGACTTCGTCACGTACTGGCTCTCGCACTTCACCCGCATCCGCGACGCCGGCCAGCACATCGGCTTCCGCTTCCTCGTGCAGGCCGACTACGAGCGCGCCGCCCGTCTCGACGTCGAACCGAAGCCTGATGTCGTCACGCGCGTCTTCCTCCTCTTCAAGGGCGTCGATGCGGAGGACGCGAGCGAGTGGAAGAAAGCGGACGAGGTTGACTGGGTCGAGGAGGTCGGCGTCCAGGTCGACAAGATCAGGGACGAATCCCTCTTCCGCGTGCTCGAGTGGGGCGGAATGGAGGTCGTCTAAGTTGCGTCGTGTTCACGCTTGATAGCTTGTCATCTACGCTTGTCTGCTTCGTTGTTGCCTCTTCTTTCGACTCGAGATGGGGAGATCTCGCGACCACCGCTTCGCTGGGCGCTGGAGGACTCACACTGCACCCGCCGAGAGCCTGCACACCGTTGCAGCCCTGCAAAGCCCTTCGCGCGCGATAACCCCTCCGCCCTCATCGCCTCATCGCTCATCGCTCTCTCCCTTCTTCCCTTCACTCGCTCGCGCTCACACCGCTCGCACAGGCTGCTAGAGCCGCTCAGCCCGCTCTCAGGCTCCTCTCGAGTAGTCCTTGCTTACTCGCACGCGCACCATGGCTGCCCCCGCCTCCGAGCCAACCGTCGTCGCCATCGTACGCTACAAGGACCGCCAGGAACTGTTGCGCTTCCCTGACTCGACTTACGACACCTTCTGCCGTCGTTTGAGCAGCGTCTTCTTCATCGCGACCCCGTCTATCCTTTGCGTCGAGCGTTCCATGCCTTCTCTCGGTTGGGTCTGCGTCGACCCGGCAACCTGGCAGGAACAAGCTGGGGAGAGGTTTGACAACGACTGGCCGTACTACCGAGTCATCGACGGCGACTGCCCAGAAGCCAAACAACACTGCAGGAAGATCACGATCAAGCTCGAAACGCCCGGAGGAGGCAGAGTGCGTCGCCTGATCGTTTCCAGCTCATCAAGCGTATACTAAAGCGTTCATGTAGACCAGCATCGACATCGAGCATTCTGCAACCGTCTCCCAGCTCCAAGCTGCCGTTGCGACGGCAATTGGGTTGCCCGTCAGCCAGCAGCGTCTCCTCCTCCACGGCGAAGAGCTCTCGGACGGGAATGCGCGCTTGTACAAGTCAGAGATCACGGCGGGCGTGAGGATGACCGTCGAGCTGTCCAAGCCCGCAGGTGTCCCCGTCATCCAGATGTACCCTTCGGCTGCCCTTCGATCACCTTCCGCCTCGGTGACTCTCACGACAATGCTGTCTTCGCAGTGGCACTTCTGGCACGACCCCGAATTCCTGTTCTCGACTCGCTATCCGCGCGAGATTGAATTCAAGGTCGCGACGAGCCTTGACAGCGACACCTCCGCGCGCTGGATCGTCCCCTCGAGTGCCATGCGCAGCCAATGGTCCCACGAAGTCGCATTCCCCTACGCCTTCTGGCCGGTCGACCCTTTCGAGACGAGCTCGTCTAACGCAGTGCCCAAAGGCGCTTCCTGCGTTCCGAACTCTCAACTCTGTCAACGGCTGCTTCCTGCCTCACGAGGGCCTTTACGATGCACTCTTTGACCTCTTCTCAGCCCTCGCCCTCCCGCACGAAGCCTCCTGGACTCTCGCGTCGCGCTGCAAGCGCCGAGTCGACGAAGATCACGCCCTGGCGTTCCGCATTCTGCCGCATGAGGAATACGCCGACTTGTCTTCCCTCGACGTCCAGCCACCTCCCGATGTCACGACCCGCATCTTCCTCCTCTACAAGGCGATGGGCAAGGATGAAGTGAAGGACTGGACGCACGCAGACAAGATTGAGTGGGTCGAGGAGCTTGATGTCGATGTTGCTGCCGCTCGCGACGAGTCTCTCTTCAGAGTCTTCGAGTGGGGAAGCTTGGAGGTTTCGTAAAAGGGACGCATGATGTAGCTTGCTTGCAGAGTACCCGCTGACGAATGGAACGAGGGTGATTGCTCACGATTCAACGGACCGCAAGCGAGTCGGCGGAAGCGAGAGATTCGGAGTTGACGACATCTTGAGCGACAGTCTCATCGTGTACAAGCAAGTCGCGGAATGGAAAGTATGCAGTACTCATTTCAAGCGAAGGTGACCAGGCGCAACGTCGTCAACGCCCGTTCAAGCGATTTGTGCGCAGCGTTAGCTACACGACCTCCATGCCGCCCCACTCGAGCACGCGGAAGAGCGACTTGTCCTCGGCCTTGTCGACCTGGACGCCGACCTCCTTGACCCAGTCAACCTCGTCCGGCTTCTTCCACTCGCTCGTCTGATCCGCATCGACGCCCGTGAAGAGCAAGAAGACACGCGTGACGACGTCCGGCATCGGGTTGACGTCGAGATGGGTTGCGCGCTCGTAGTCGTCCTGCGCGAGGAAGCGAAAGCCGATGTGCTGACCGGCGTCGCGGATGCGGGTGAAGTGGGAGAGCCAATACGTGATGAAGTCGTTCCTCGCGGCGGTGTGGAGCGAGAGAGCGGCGAGCGTCTGGTCGAGGTGGGCGAGGAAGGCGGCGAAGGGGAGCGCGCAGCCGTTCGAGGCGTCGAGCAAGGGGTTCGAAGGGTCGAAGACGAGGTGCGAGGGAGCACTCGACGTCGTCTTGTACGCCTCGGCCTCCCAGAAGAGGTACTTAAGCTCGAGGCCCGAGGCGAGGTCGACGAGGGAACCGTCGGGCTGAGCAGAGACAGTCCAGCTCGCCCTCGTCTCGCCATTTCCACCCTCGACCGGGTGAACGACGGGGTAGAGCGCGGAGAAGTGCCACTCGGGCGTGAGGGTGAGCGAGACGGACGCCGAGTCGAGTGGAGTCGGCGGGAAGAGGTAAATGACAGGCTTGCCGCCCGTCAGGCGCAGGAGAAGGTGCAACGTACTGTCCTTCGCAATCTGGTAGTCAGCAAGCGTGTGTCCGTTCTCGAGTTGCTTGCCGGCAAAGATGAGACGCTGTTGGCAAGGCGAGATTCCCTCGACGTCGCGGATCATGTCCCTGACGGATTCCAAGCTCGCGTCCGGAAGCACCTCGAGTGTGATCTGGCCAGATATCACGTCAGCATGCGCAGGTGACGCTCAACAGGCCTCGACTTACCGTTCTGCCCGTGAGCGTCTTGACGAAGATCTGAATGGGAACGCGACCGCCGATGACCATGCGGTAGACTGGATACAGCTCGTCATAGCGCTTGACAGCCTGCGCCATCCAGGCCGTTGACCCGATTGCTGTCCATCCGCGTCCAGGAACGTCGCGCTCGATGCCAGTGAGAGAAGCGTGCTTGACACAGAAGACACGCCTGATCTCCCTCATCGCGGTGTCGTAGTCCGCCGACGAGATGCGCACAAGTACCTGACGCTCATCGTCTTTGACCACGGCCAGGTAGCAGCATTCCACAGCCGGATCTTCGCGAGCACGCTTGGTCTTGGAAGGATCGGAAGGGGGCGACGCCGCGCGCTTGTTCGAAGTCGTCGGGGGAGCCATGAATGCGTGTACGAGCGTTGGGAAGGGTCTGCGAGCGGGTTGAGCAACTCGAGCAGCCTGTGCGAGTGATGGAGCGCGAGCGAGTGAAGGGAAGGAGGGAGAGAGCGATGAGGGGGAGGGCGAAGGGGTCATCGCGCGCGAAGGGCTTTGCAGGGCTGTGCCGGCAACAAGAGCTCTCGACAGGTACTGTGCGAGTGCTCTAGCGCCCGGCGAAGCGATTGTTGCGACTACCTCCCCTTCTCGACCCGGCGAAGAGGCGACGACGAAGCAAACAAGCGTAAGATGGCAAGCTATCAAGCGCGAGCACGACCAGGACTAGACGACCTCCATCCCGCCCCACTCGAGCACGCGGAAGAGCGAATCGTCCGTGACCTTGTCGACCTGGACGCCGACCTTCTTGACCCAGTCGACCTCGTCCGGCTTCTTCCACTCGCTCGTCTGATCCGCATCGACGCCCTTGAAGAGCAAGAAGACACGCGTGACGACGTCCGGCATCGGGTTGACGTCGAGGCGGGCGGCACGCTCGTAGTCGCTCTGCACGAGGAAGAGGAAGCCGATGTGCTGGCCAGCGTTGCGGATGCGGGTGAAGTGCGAGAGCCAGTACGCGATGAAGTTCCTCGCGGCGGTGTGGAGCGAAAGGGCGGCGAGTGTCTTGTCCAGGTGGGCGAGGAAGGCGGCGAAGGGAAGGGCGCAGCCATTCGAGGCGTCGAGCAAGGGGTTCGAA